TAACAAATATCTCAGACGAAACAGCTTAGACAACAAAAATTTATGTTCTCCCAGTTTTGGAGGCTGGAAGTCCAAGATCATGATGCCAGCAGGGTTAGATTCTCCTGCAGATGTCTTTCTCCGTGGCTTGTGGATGATCACCTTCTCCTTGTGTCCTCACATGGGTTTCCAGTTATGTGTTGTTTGTGTCCTAATCCCCTCTTCTTCTTATAAAGACATCAGTCAGATTGGATTAGGGCCCACCCCACTGACCTCATTTTAACCTAAGTATTCCTTTAAAGGCCCTATCTGCAAATACAGATTCTGAGGTACTGGGGGTTAGGGCTTCCACATATGAATTAAAGGTAGGGGAACACAATTTAGCCTATACGAACAGTTCTATCCTTTGTTCACTTACCAGTTACACTTGATGATATTCCTATTTCAGTATACAGAAAGGTTGCTTATTTGTTTATTCAGTTAGAGAGTAATTTATTGTATGAATGAACCATCCGGTCAGTGAACAGTCCCCTATTTATGGACACTAGGGTTGTTTCCAATATTTTGCTACTCACAACAATGCTGCAATAAGTAAGCTTGCACCTACTTCATTTTATATGCCAGAGAACATGTCTCTAGACACACTCCCAGAGGTGGAATTGTTGGGTCAAATGTTTTGTGTATACTTGTCATGATGCATCTTCAAATAGTCCCTTCTCCAATCCAGCAATGTGCCTGCTTCTCCACACTACATCAGCAGAGTGTATTATCAATTTCTTTGATGTTTGCCAATCAAATAGGAGGGAAATGCTGTATCAAAGAGTTTTAACTTGCGTTTTTCTCTTAATGAGTAAGATTGAATTTTTTATATGATTAAGAGCCACTTACTTTTTTTTCTGTGAACTCTCTTCATTTATTGTTTTGAAGATTTTCTTAATTTATTTGACAGAAAGAGCACACAAGCAAGGGAGTGGCAGAGGGAGAGGGAGAAGCAGGCTCTCGGCTGAGCAAGGAGACTGATGCAGGGCTTGATCCGAGGATGCTGGGATCATGAGCTGAGCTGAAGGCAGCCGCTTAACTGACTGAGCCACCCAGGGGACCCTTTCTTCATTGTTTTTTATTGGCTTGTAGTGCTTTATACTAACTTCTGAAATTCCTTAATTCTATTAGCCCTTTGTCTATCACATGTGTTGGAACTATTTTCCTTGTTAATCATCTGTCTTTTGCATATGTTCATGGTGATTTTTGCCAAACTAACGTTTTTCATTGTCATGGCTTCTGGATTTTGAGCAGGAGTTAGAAAGGCCTTCTCTAGGTCACCTGGGTGACTTGGTTAAGTGTCTGCCTTCCATTCAGATCATGATCCTGGTGTCCTGGAATTGAATCCAACATCAAGCTCTCTGCTCAGCAGGGAGTCAGCTTCTCCCTCTGCCCCTCTCCCCTGCTCAAACTTGCTAGTTCTTGCTCTCTCTTAAATAAATAAATAAATCTTAAAAAAAAGACCTTCTTTACTCCAAAATTAAAAAGGATTTTCCATATGTTTTCTTTTTGTCCTTTTATGATTTCACTGTTATACATTTGTATCTTTTTTTGATTTGAATTTCACTCTGGTATGATGTAAGGTATGGAACCAACTTTACATTTTTTCAGATGGCTATATTTCTGTCCTAATGCCATTTATTGAATTATCCATCTTTTCCTTGGTGATTTCCCAAAATTATTTGGGTGTATTTCTGGATTTTCTGTTTTTATTGGTCTGTCTATTCATGTATCAGAGACACACTGCTTTATTTATTGAGGCTTTATTTATTATTTTTTAAAAAGTTTTTATTTATTTATTTGAGAGAGAGAGAGCATAAGAGCTGGGTAGAGGGAAGGGAAGAGGAAGATGCAGACTCCCCGCTGAGTGGGAAGCCTGATGCAGGGCACAATCCCAGGACCCAGGACCCTAGGATCACAACCTGAGCCGAAAGCAGATGCTTAACGGACTGAGTCACCCAAGTGCTCCTTATTGAGGGTTTTTTTTTTTTTTTTAAGATTTTATTTATTTGAGAGAGAGAGATAGCCAGAGCAAGAGCAGGGGTCAAAGGGTAGAGGGAGAGGGAGAAGCAGACTCCCCTCTGAGCAGAGAGGACTCAGGGCTCTATTTCAGAGCCCAGGGATCAGGATCTCAGCTGAATGGTGGCAGATGCTTAACCAACTGAGCCACCCAAGCACCCCACTGAGGCTTTCAAATATGTTTTCTTATCTAGTAGCCAGCCACCACCCTATAACTCTTTGTTTTCAAAGTTTTCCTGGCCGATTCTTTCGATTCTTTCTGATTTTTTCCCATATGTAAATCAGAATCACTTCATCTAGTTAAAAATAAATTTATTAATTAATTTAGGAAGCATTGACATCTTTTTGATGTTAAATCTACTCATCCAAGAACATGATGTTTTTCACCATGTGTTTAAGTGTTTTGTGCCATTCAGGGATTATTTAAAGTTTTACTCACATAGATCTTGTTAAATTTTTATAAAAGTTTATTGCTAGTTATTACATTGTTATATTTATATATTCCTTGTATAATATTGATCTTTTGCATAATTTCATTGTATCTTCCAACTGGTTGTTAACTAGAGGCATGATAGCTCTCTCTCTCTCTCTATATATATATTTCATATATATGTATATGTGCATATACATATATATGTACATTTTTCCAGTTTGCTGCTGAATTATTTTGTATGTGTAGTTTTTCAGACAATCTCATCTGTTTTTGACCTGATGGATATGTGGGAAATAAAATTCTGTTGTGTGAAGAGACCGAGATTTTGGGTTTGTTATTACTGGAACATTTCCTAGCTATTCTGACAGATAAAAGTGATTTAAAAAAAAAAAAGACACTCAACACACAAGTATATTAGGGTAAAATTCTGTGGGGGCAGTGAAATAGAAGCAGTTAAGGAGAAAAGGGAACAAATTTTTTGTTACATAATTTACTCATATATTTTTAAAATGGAAAAAGGTGGGAATTGAATTGCTGTAGTGTTTATATTCTAATGGGTATTTTATTTTATTTTAAGATTTTATTTATTTGACAGACAGAGATCACAAGTAAACAGAGAGGCAGGCAGAGAGAGATGAGGAAGCAGGCTCCCCGCTGAGTAGAGAGCCCGATGTGGGGCTCGATCCCAGGACCCTGGGATTATGACCTGAGCCAAAGGCAGAGACTTTAACCCACTGAGCCACCCAGGCACCCCTTAATGGGTATTTTAAAGAGTAACATCATTTTATTTAAAACTGTCAAGATTTAGGGCTCCTGACTGGCTCAGTTAGTGGAGCATGCTACTCTTGATCTTGGAGTTGTTAAGTTCAGCCCCATATTGGGTGTAGAGATTACTAAAAAATAAAATCTTCAGAAGCACCTGGGTGGCTCAGTCAGTTAAACAGCCAACTCTTGATTTGGGCTAAGGCCATGATCTGGGCTTTCTGGGATCTAGCTCAGTTCAGCAGGGCCTCTACTTGAGGATGTTTCTTCCTCTCCCTCTGCCCCTCCTACCCAAGCCCCCACCAATAAATAAATCTTAAAAAAGAAAAAGAAAAAAAGTCCACATTTACAGCTTGCCAGAAATCTTGTCCTTTGCAACCTCTTTAACCTACACTGAATTCTTGCAGATGTGCCAGGTAAAGAGTCTTTAGAAGCTGTTTGTACTGAATGTCTCTCCATAGGTAAACTGCCTGGGCTCTTTTTGCTGAGTACAGGTGCTTGCTTTCTCCAGGCCCTTCTGAAGGACCCATCCCAGCCTGCATCACAGGATTCCTCCACCTCTTTTCAAGGCAGACTGACTCAGCTCAGGCAGGGAATTTGTGGGTCCTACTAATGTCACACAAGGTTGTTCTGGGAAAACCAAATCCGAGGACTTCCCCTTTAAGAACACGCACTCTGGGGGCGCCTGGGTGGCTCAGTGGGTTAAGCTTCTGCCTTCAGCTCAGCTCATGGTCCCAGGGTTGTGGGATGGAGCCCTCCATTAGGCTCTCCGCTCAGCGGGGAGCCTGCTCCCCCGCCCCACACCGCCCCCCCCTCGCGATTGCCTCTCTGCCTACTTGTGATCTCTGTCAAATAAATTTTTAAAAAATAAAAAAAAAGAACATGCACTCTGAAGCCAGATGCTGGGGTTTGAATGCGGAGTGGGTTTCCTAATAGCGTGTTCTTGAATGCTTATCAGCTTGCGTCTTAATTCCCTCATTTGCAAAATGATTTATTATGGATATTACATGACCTAATGAATGCGGAGCTTTGGAAATAGTGATTGGCAGAGTGAGCGCAGTGTCTGTGCTGGCAGCCTCTACCTGGTACTCTGGGGCATGCGAGTGTCCCAGCGATATTCCAGGCCGGAGCCCTGTGCCACTCGGTGGGATAACACTTCGACTGCCCGCCACTACACTAGCCCTGGCTGGGGGGTGCTGAGCCTTGCCCTCAGTTGTCACCATCCAGCATCACAGCCAGGACCGGGTCACATACCACCACCGCACCCTTGCGTCTTCATTTACACACAGGTTCCTGCAATACGGTGGCTGTTTTAATACAAAATCGAAGACATATTTCTCATAAAAAATTTTAGTAAAACTCTATATTCCAGTATGTCCCTTCCACGCTGCATTAGTAGAAGGGCAAAAACAGGGTGAGGAAAAAGTCCATCTGAGTGCCTATTCCGAAAAGTGGACACGGACGTCCCCGTGGGCGCCGCCGCCGCGGGTTACTCGCCCACCCGCACGCGGTGCCCTAGGGTAGACAGACCAGCCTTGGGTCGCACGCCACACGGCTCCAGACACTCTCCATCCGGGGGCCTCTTAGACGCCGGCGGGAGCGCGCACGCCTCTACCCTAGTCTGAACGGAGACTTCCAGTCACGTGCCCAGCGCGCCCTCGCAGCGGCGCGCTCCAGGCGGAAGTGAGGTCGGTGGCTCGCTGGCTGCGCAGCGTCGGCTGGTAGCGCGGGCTGCGGAGAGGCGGGCCGGGTGAAGCCGAGCGATTGTAAGCGCGGACCGGGGAGGCGGCGGCGGCGACCGGGGACTTCGAGGCTCAGCCCCCGCATCGGAGCACTCTTCTGCGGCGCTCGCCCCTCGCCAAGCCCCACCGCCGAGCCCACCCCGGGCCGGCGTGCGCTGGTCACTGAGGCCCAGGCCGCCGCCGCCGCCGCCGTCGCGGCGCGGTGAGTGCGGGCGGGCGGGCGCCCCCGGGCGGGGGCGGGGCGGAGGGGCGACGCGGCGCCCTCTCCGGCTCCGGGCTGCACGCGAGCCGGGGCGGCGGGCTCCGGCGGCGGCGCTGCCCGGCCGGAAGTGCGGCGCTTTGTGCGGCGGGCCTGGGGCGGCGCCAAGGTCGGGCCCGCGGCTCGGGGTTGCCTGGCGCCGGGTTCGGGATACGGCCTGTCGGCCCCTGGGCCAAACCTCGGCTGTGCTTTGTCCGGGGGGTAAACCAGGCAGCTGGGAGCCCAAGGGAGGCGGAGCTGGGCGCGGACTCGCGCACGGCCAGGTGCGGTGTGCGCGGCGGGGGAGGGGGGTGCTGCCCAGGTGGCCGGTGAGAGGTGGAGTCAGTGCACAAGAATGTTCCCTGGGCCTTATTAAGGTCCGACTCAGATCCGGTTAGGAAAACGTATGAAAAAATGAGAAGCAGCAGGGTGTTGTTTTCTGTAACTTAGATTTAGGATTCTTGTGGTTGTAATCATTTCGAATGTATAAACTATTCACTTTGTCTACCCACGAAGTGAAAATTATTCCATTTGCTTGCCAGAAGCTTAGTGTTCGCCCTCAAGCTTGAAAGGCTTTTAATGATTTCTTCAGAAAGGACGTTTCGTGGTCCAGTCTGGGTTAACTTTGAAAAGAAGGTGTACCTTTGCAACCTGTCAACAAACAGGGTATTTTTCTTTTATAATATATGTAAGTGCATGTAATGGATTGTATGAGTTAATGTTTCACTCAAGTCATACATAAAAATATTTTGGAGTGTTTTTGGCATGCAGGAAAAATTTTGTCTTGTTCCCACACCTTAAATTCTCAAGTCATCCTTGTGTAATTTGAGATTTTCTCAAATATTACATGAAAAAGTTTAAAAGTTTTCGCTGTGGACAATAATAGGGACACACTTTGCAAATTTGTTAAGTAGTGCACTATTTTTGCTGACATCCAGTTGGATAACTTAAAGTTCTCTTTTTTAATGCTAAAGCTAGTGTGTGCATATTGTGAAGATTTTTTTTTTCCCCTTCAGCTTAATAAAGCTAGCTTGCTTTGGTTGGGGTGTTTGCATGTTTCTTACGTTTAGTTGTGAATGTGACTAAATGGAAGCTGAGAATTGTTAGAGGTCTCCGGAGGCCTTCTGAGTTGGAGACAGCTGGCTGCCTGTGCGTTCTGCCTGGTGTTCTTGGGCAGCAGTCTCTAGAAATGCTGAGCAGGTAGCAGCATCCCCTCTTCCTGGTTCCTGTCCTTGTAAATAGTGGGAAGATTGGGTTGTGCTTGTGAGGCAAGTGCCTGCATCTCAGGAGGAAGCACCATCTGCTGCTGTTGCTATTATTGCCCCCTGCCCTTTTATCAGGCCCTGATATATTTGTTAGGATATTTATTATTCTGCTCTACATCTGCCTTTCAACTCATTTTCATTTTGAGTTTAGAATTGTGATACTAAAATCATTGGAATTTTTGAACAACAGGAAAATTAGTATAATGCCACAGAGGTAGAGGATTAAAATTGAAAAAAAAATTAAGTGGATTTTTAAAAAAAGATATTATTTATTTATTAGAGAGAGAGAGGGAGACGGAACACAAGCCAGGGGAGTGGGAGCAATAGAAGCAGGCTTCCCGCTGAGCAGAGTGTCTGATGCAGGGCTTAGATGCTTAACTCAGTATGCTCACTCAGGTGCCTGAAATTTAAGTGCATTTTAAATATCTTAGCTTTTTATAGGTTCTGTAGAAAAAAAAAATATTTAAAGTAGGCTCCACGGGGCGCCTAGGTAGCTCAGTTGGTTAAGCAACTGCCTTTGGCTCGGGTTATGTTCCCAGGGTCCTGGGATAGAGCCTGGTGTCAGGCTCCTTACTCAGCGGGGAGCTTCTCCTTCTGCCTGCTACTCCGCCTGCTTGTGCTTTATCTCTCTCTGTCGAATAAATAAATAAAATTAAAGTAGGCTCTGCGGCCAGTGTGGAGACCAGCATGGGGCTTGAACCTACAACCCTGAGATCAAGGCCCAAGCTGAAATCAAGAATTGGAGTCTTAACAGACTGAGCCACCCAGGACCCCTATAGGTATAGGTTCTGTAGTTTAAAGGGAAATTTTTGTCCACCAAACTTGTCTCACTTAAACAGCTTCTTTTCCAGTATCAGTTGAAACACCTATAAAAAGTGGTACACCAATGTAATAAAGTAATAGTTACTTTTTTCATATCTGCTTTCCACTCTACATCTGTGTCTTTGGAGTCTGACCAGTCCTGTGAGAAATACATGAATTTCTCCCAAGAGGTTGCAAACCTCAGTAGTGAAGGGAGACTTTGAGGGAGTTGAGAAGAACTTTCTTATATGCTTTTCTTTATAATATCAGACATTGCTGAGAATTTCCAGTGTTGTGCTGAAGGGTATATCTTGTATATTAATATTAGTCTCCGAGAGAAATAAAATTTAACCCTCTTGAAATTAGTTTTGTTGGTATGAAATACTATTAAAAGCCTTCAAAGTTTTATAATTTCTGTTGTGTGTGGAAACTTTCTTTAGATCATGGTATCTTTTGAAACTAGAGAAAATAATACAGTGATGGGTCTTAAATGTATCTTTGATTATTACAGGATTTTCAAATTCAAAAATTTTTGCTGTCATCTTTTTTAAAGGTAAATCTGAGATTGGGTTTCCTGGTGCAGGTGTCAGACCACCCATAGGTATTCTGACAGTTGAGTCATTCGACATGGGTTTAAAAAAAAAAAAAAAAAAGTGGTACCTTCTGGATCCAGTGTTGGAATTGGAGTCTTTGTTCCACAGTAAATCAGACTGGGAAACTGGTTTCTGGGTTGCCAATGGCACTAGGATAGGAGGCAGAATGATGATGATGTGTTTTTTCTTTATTTTTTTTGTTACGCAAACTTAAAACGAGTAACAATACCATATGCAGCCATAATCCAATACCTCAGCATAACAATCATTAGTATTTTACTGTAGTTTTCCTTTTTTCTAAGAATAGATTCAGACATTAAAACCATTACGTAGTTTTGTTTGGATTTTGGTTTAGATTGAAAAAACTGTAAGAAGATATTTAAAGGATTTGGGGACACAAGTGAATATGGGCTAAGTATCAAATGGTATTCATTTTGCTAGGTATGGTGATAGCATTTTGGTTACGTAAATGTTTTTGTAGTAGTACCTTAGGTGATGCAGAGTAATTCTATTATATGAGCATGCATTTAATGTTAAATAGTTTGATTTCTGGAAATGTTAAGATTGGCTAGTGGGTTCAGCTTTCATAGTCACTAATCAATAAATAGATGGTATTTCAAGTATTCTGAGTTATATTTTATTAATTATTTTTTAAAAGATTTATTTATTTATTTGACAGGCAGAGATCACAAGTAGGCAGAGAGGCAGGCAGAGACAGAGGAGAAAGCAGGCTCCCCGATGAGCAGAGAGCCTGATGCGGGGCTTGATCCCAGGATCCTGAGATCATGACCTGAGCGGAAGGCAGAGGCTTTAACCCACTGACCCACCCAGGTGCCCCAGAGTTGTATTTTAAATAAATGTCTCAGCTTCATTTTTTTTTTTTTTTTTTTAAGTAAGCTCTATACCCATATGGGACTTGAACTCAACTATCCTGAGATGAAGAGTCACATGCTCAACTTCATATTTATTGCTGTGAAAAGTTATATTTTCTATCACACAGTTCTTCAAAAACATTCAGAAGATATATATAAGCTGTCTGAGTGCCTAGCACTGGTGAAATACAGGAAGACAGCTGAACAAAGTATTTTTCTCTGCTCTTGAGGCTTAGAATCTCGGGGGATTCTTATTTTTTGAACAAGTAACCTAAGAAGCTTTTTTTTTGTGGGGGGGGACATTAGTTCACAGACTGTTTTTATGTTGCTCAGTCAAGCCCTTTTATTGGATAGGAGAGGGAACCCCGCAACATTTTTCATCAATCTTTTTATATTTTCTTGTCTAATATTCAGTTCATTAAGATTTTTTGGTCTCGGGGTGCCTGGGTGGCTCAGTGGGTTGGAGCCTCTGCCTTTGGCTCAGGTCGTGATCTCGGGGTCCTGGGATCGAGCCCCGCATCGGACTCTCAGCTCAGCAGGGAGCCTGCTTTCCGCCCCCTCCACCCCCTGCCTCTCTGCCTAACTTGTGATCTCTGTCAAATAAGTAAATTTTAAAAATCTTCAAAAAAAAAAAAAAAAAAGATTTTTCGGTCTCTTTAGGAAACATCCTCTGGGGAGGTAAAAATGCTTTTAGGAAATAAAACTTCTGGGTAGTTTGAAACTTATGGTATTGAGAATTCATAGGCAATTCTATGTACTTTGTAGTGTCAAGTGTATAGTAGAATTGTATTATTGGTTTACACTGAGATCTTTATGGCAGGAGAGGCTTGTGTTCAATGCTTCATTTGGTTGTTTACGATTTTTTGGCTGTTATGAATAATAAAAATTTGTGTACAGATTTTTGTGTGGTTGTGTATTTTCATTTCTCTTAGGTATTTACCAAGGAATAGAATTACCAGGTCACCTGGTAACTCCTGTGTTAGTCTGCCATGTTACTCATGAGCTTCATTGCCTACCAGATGTCATCTGTTCAGCCCTACATTTAAGGGTCTACACATGATGGTTCTAAGAAATTAACCTGTGTTTTCATAGTCATAGCCCAGTATTGCTAAAGTGCATCTTGCATTTTCTCTCTTCAGTGGCTTTTTGGGCTCATACTGTTCAGAGCTACTACTTTCTATAATCAAGTTTTTCCTGACCATTCCTCCCCTCACCTGTTGAGTTTTTGCTCTCTCAACCTTCAGAACACTTCATTCCTTTATGGTACTTAGAGAGGGAATAAAAGCAGTCCTCCCACTGAGCAGGGAGCCCAGTGCGGGGCTTGATCTTAGGATCCAGGGACCATAACCTGAGCCAAAGGCAGAAGCTTAGTAACTGAGCCACCCAGGTGCTCCTCATGTCTTTTGTCTTACAGGCCAGAGTTCTCCTATATAATTGCTATCACCTACTTGTGACTGTTTAAGTTAAAATGTAGTTCCTTAGTTGTGCTAGCCACACTTGAGGTGTTCACTAGCCAGCATTAGTGGCTACTTTACATGTACAGTTACCATGCATTTTCATCTTCACAGAAGGTTCTATTGGACAACACTTTTCTAGATTGTAAACTCAGAAGATTGTGACTTGCTCTTTTTGTGTTCTTTGTGGCCATTGCATAGTGCTTTGCTTATTTTGAATTCAATTGAGAAAATTAGGTTCTGGCACAGAATAGAGAAACAGAATTTTGAGAATTATATATTTACTCAACAGATCATAGTTGAACGACAGAGATGAGGGCTTACACAGTTCTGTTGGAGATCCACCAAGAATAGGTTAAAAGTACAGGGTAATAGGGATTGGCAGTTGCCAATTTGTTTATTCTTTTTTTAATGCAGTGCTTGAACTCATGACCCTGAGATTGAGGGTCAGATGCTTAACTGACTGAGCCACCAGGTGCCCCCAGTTTGTTTATTCTATTTTTTTTTTAAGATATTATTTATTGGAGAGAGGGAGTGTCAGAGATAGTGAGAGGAGAGGGGAGGAGGAGAAGAGGGAGGAGAGGGAGAAGCAGGCTCCGTGCTGATCAGGGAGCCCAACATGGGGCTCGATCCTAGGACCCTGGGATCATGCCCAGAGCCCAAAGCAGACGCGCTTTACCGACTGAGCCACCTAGGCACCTCCCCAGTTTGTTTATTCTTAAACTCTGTAGTAAGATAATGTAATTGATTCTCCTGCTTGCTTTCTGTGCCTTCCTATCCTTGTTTTCTATCATCTGTATTGTAGACTGTGCTGTCCATATGGTAGTCCCTAGGCACATATGACTATTAAATATAGGTTGAGGCTCAGTTGGAGGACTCTTGATTTCGGGGTCATGAGTTCAAACCCCACATTGGGTGTAGAGATTACATAATAAATTAATTTTAAAAAATTGAGGTCAGATAAAATTTAAAAATCAGATCCTTCACTAGCCATATTTTTGGGGTGCTCAGTAGTTAATTTTAGCTAGTGGCTGCCATATTGGAAGGCACAGATAGAGAGCATCTTCATTGTTGCAGAGAGTACTGTTTGTTAGCACTGATCTAGACTAATCTCTTAGTTGTAATTGTGGATGTCATAGTAACTTTGGCTTAGAAGTTAAAAAAAAGTTATTTAAGTAAGAATGGCCTAATCACTGATGTTCCTGATTTATTCCTAATTTAGACTAGAACTTGTTACAAAGGCTAGGGATGTGACTGGGTATTTTTTTATGTGTACTGAACTGCTTGATTGTGAATACTTTAAATGAGTCAGGTAAGCTGAGACTTTGAAGTGGTTAATTTTTGCAATATGTTTTTGTAGTAGAATTTGATACCTGCAGTGTTTGAATGTGTATATGTTTTTAGAAAGTCAGCAGGTGGGGCACCTGGATGACTCAGTTGGTTGGGTGTCTGCCTTTGGCTCAGGTCATGATCCAGGGGTCCTAGAGTCGAGTATAAGCTGCAAGCTTGCTTCTCTCTCTCTCTCTCTCTCTCTCATGAATAAATAAAATCTTTTTCAAAAACAATTAGTCAGGTACTTGCACCTATTTTGTGCCAGGTACTGTTACTGGTGCTAGAGATACTACAGTAAATAGGAACAAGTCCCTGTTCCCTGTCTGCCACACGCTACTTTCTAGTGGGGGATGTGGTGGGGGAGGCAGACACTAAATAAGTATATATGTGTACATTTTGTTTATTTTTAATTTTTAATTTTATTTGTTTTTAAAGTAGGTTCCATGCTGTGCATGGAACCCATTGTGGAGCTTGAACTCATGACTTTGAGAGCAAGACCTGAGCCACCCAGGCATCCCTCTTTATTTTTAGTTTTAAGTAGACTTTTTTAGAGCAGTTTTAGGTTCACAGAAAAAATGAGCAGAAGGCACAGAGTTCCCATGTTACCTGTTGCCTGCTATCCCCCTATCCTGTACTGTTTTTATATTTAAATTTAAGATTCCCTTCATCCTTACTACCACCATTCCACACCAGTGAGGAATGTAGGTGAGGAATATAGAGTAGTCTTAATTAAACATACTTTTGTAATACATTGGTTGACAGAATTCAGAGGACCTTGCTGGAGATACTGATGAGAATCATATTTTTCTATTGGGGAAGGGGTAAAATGATGCTGGTGGCTGTGCAAGCTCTTGAACTTTTCAGGAAAAAAAAGATGATGAAAAAACATCGAATGGATTAATAGAGTTGCTAGGCTATAGCTGATTTGTCTCTTAAAGAAAATAGATACATATTTAACAAAGGTTATTTAACAAATAGAGAAAAGTATAAAAAGAACACCAAACCTACCCCATCTGGAGATCATCTCTGTTCACATTTTTATATTCTCCCATATTTTTTCTGTTGGTGCTAGAAGTGCACATGCCTGTACTACATGTAGGTGCAGATTTAGGATCATACTGCATAATACAGCATTGTTCTTTTCCTTTTGTCACATAACATATCAGTCATGTTTTTAAACACTTTAAAAAGTATCTGTGTAATATTTCACATTCTGCATAGGTCTGGTTTCCTTAACTATTCTTTGTTATAAGGACATTTAGATCATAACATTTTTTTCACTGTTTTAAGCAGGGACATAGAGAACACATTTTCCCTTAGCTTCTGATGCACTGAAGAAGTTGGAAAGATTACAGTGTTTAGGTGGGCTTTCATTAGGACTTCTGGCCTGCCTTTTCTGTGTTGGCTGGCAGCAGCATGAAATGCCTTGTTTTTCATCAACTAGAGAAGGGACTCTTGCTGCCTGCTCTTTTGCAAGTGATATTGGAGAAAAACTGGAGAATAAAAGTGCTTGGCTAAATTACTTTTTTTCCCCCTTTTTAGTTCTTGAAATCATGAATCCTGTTTACAGCCCTGGTTCTTCCGGAGTTCCCTATGCAAATGCCAAAGGAATTGGTTATCCAGGTAAGCAAGTAAAACTTTGTTTCATTATTGAAGTTTGAACACTGGTAAATTTCCTTGTTGCTCAGAATGCTTTCAGTTGACAAACCTAGCTCAAAGTGATCTATACAAAGAAGAAAATGTTTTGGGTCATGGAACTGAAAAATCAAGAGCTAGGACTATTTTTGGTCAAAGCTTGATCTGGTGGCTCCAGCAGTTGGACTAGGATCTAGTTTCTACCTCCTAGGCTCAGCTTCACTTCTCAGGATTGGCTCAGTGTTGGTCACAGGTTGCAGGTCTCTCCATTGTGGTCTCTTTGTGGTGTTCAGCAACCACCCCCCAGTAGTACCCTAGCTATGAGCCTCTATCTCTGCTCTATAGGAAGCCCCCTTGGGGCTTCTTGTTCTCTAATCAGACTAATCCTGGGATGTGTTCTGATTGCACTCTGCTTCTATCCCAGGGCCAGGGAGGGGATTCTACTAATTAATTTAGACCTGAGCCACCTTTTCTCCTTATTGGAGTCAGCTAGTAGAACATGGGCTGTGAGGGAGGTGGTAAAGCAAAATTTGGGGGAAAAGGAACTGGTTGTTTGAAAATAGCAAGTGGACATCCTAATTGGTGACATCTAACAAGGAGTAATTATTTGTAATGTTACAGTTTTATTGTGGATTTTTGCTTTCCGTGTGTTTTAATAACCCACACGGGGAGAGAAAGTGAGGCCTTAGGCCCTTGTGAGTCTGGGGATTGGAGGTGGGACCCCTTATCAATCTGGTTCCTCCAGCAGATAATACTCCCAGGGAAGAGTTAGAGTAAAAAAATCCATTCACTGGCTCCACAAGGCAATTTGTCTCTGCTTGGGCTCTATAGGAAGGGAAGATCTTTCCTAAGAGTTTGTGCCCAGTCAGGAATGTTGGAGGCTGTACTTTGTATTACTTGTACTTACCTGGGGGGTGGAGGGCAGTCCATAATTTTTAAGAAACGAACATAAAATGTAGTCTGCAGCCTGCATTACCCCCAGCGCCTGAGAGCAGCAAAAGCAGAACTGCTATGGAGACACATGTTCTCATTCCAGGTTGTGTGGGTTTCCCGCAAAATTATTATAAAACATGTGACTTCTTTACCACATAAAAATTACCAGTCATGACTGATTTCAGGAATAGAATATCAGATACCACATCATACAAGTTTAGAGTAATTGAAAATCTAAAAGAAATAAGACTGTAAGAGGGGAACAAGACACTGGGGGAAAAAAGAATGAATTGGAATTTAAAGAAATGAAAAAGCAAAGCATTTGAACAAAATTCAGGTTAAATTGTAGGTAAAACACTGCTAAATGGGAGAACGGGGCTGCAGAATAAGGAAAGAGGGGGCAGTAGGAGACCAGTTAAGAAATCGAGATGTCAGAAGAATTGGGGAGAATTAAGAGCTCCAGAAGGACTGAATAGAGAGACAAGAAGAGGAGTGACAGAATTTTCCAGAATAATTTAGTAGTGAGACCTGTTGTCTTTAAATTATCAAGACAGTTTAAACAGAATGCCAAGTAGCTTCCTGAGAATCCTGAGTGGATCTAGAGCAAGGGAAATAGGCAAAACCCAATGGTCTTAGTTTTACCTGATAGTTTAATAAATCAGTGACTGTCATACTCCAGTTCTATGCAGGGTGTCTAAATCCGTTCTTTGGTTGGTCAGAAGCAGGGTTGACAAACTTTTACGTAACGGTCCAGGTGTAGTATCTGTTTCAGGCTTTGTGGGCCATAGTGTCTCTGTTGCAACTCCTCAGTTCTGCTTTTCCAGAACTGAAGCAGCTGTAGATAATACTGTGTGTGTATATTAACATTGAAAACAGCCTCAGTAAGTTGATCCCCCCCCCCCCCAGCCGCAAAGTGCAATAGTCGTGACTTTTCAAATACTTTTTTTCTGCTCCCTTCTCTCTTGGGACTCCATTTATAGGTATGTTAAACCATTTTACTCTATTTCATATCTGTTGCGTCCTTTTTTGTATTTTACATCATTTTCTTCTGTGAGTTTTAATGTGGATATTTTGTACTGATTGGCTTCCATTTCACCAACCCTGCTAATTTTTCTCTAATTTGCTAAAAAACCCATTTATTGAATCTTTTCATCTACTCCATTTTTTTCCTCCAACATACTGTTATTTTAAAGACTTTGTTGGTAGAAGGCTGTCTGTGAATTACATGTGGGTTTGTTTCTATTGTCAATTTGTCTTTTTCTTTTGTTTTTCAACTATGCAGTTCTGTCTCTTGTCATGCCTAGTGTTTTTTCACTGAATGTAATATACAGTATATTAAAAATTGTGGCTCCAGTTGATGTCTTCCCTTTGAGGTAGATAGCATGCTGATTAGCTTTTTTTTTTTAACTGAGCTTTTTTGAGGTATGATTGACAAGTAAAAATTATGTATATTTAGGTTGTACAGTATGTTTTTTTGTTTTGTTTTTAAGATCTATTTGTCAGAGAGCAAGCACAAGCAGGGGGAATGGAGCAACAGGTAGAGGAAAAAGCAGGCTCCCCACTGAGCAGGGAGCCTGACGTGGGACTCAGTCCCAGGACCCTAGGATCATGACCTGAGCTGAAGGCAGACGCTTAATTGCTGAGATAGCCAGGTGTCCCAGTATTTTTTTTTTTTTTTAAGGTGTATGTGATGATTTAATGTATGTATACACTGTGAAATGATTACCACAATTGAGTATACTCAAATACTGTCAAATTTGGGAATTAGAATTTCAACACATAAATTTTGAAGGAGACACAAATACTCAGTTCATATCATGCCCTCACTCCAGTTGGTAATGGACACTGAGATGAAATTAGGGTAGTAGGCATTTTTGGGGAACATTTGTGAAAGGTCTAATGAAGAGGATGCAGAATCAGGTAGTGGGGAGCCTCAGGACTGTGCTACACATTGCTGAATTCTTAGCTCATGGGGGAGCTGTGAGGGAAAAACTGGAAGTTAAAGGAGGCCCTCATTAGGCAGAAGTGGCCTTCGGAGATGCCGCTGCCAGAGGCTGGCAGTCCATGTACGGCTCGTGGCTGAATAACGGCTTCTTTTCTGGAATGGAGATTCAGGTGATGGTGATGTTTGCTTTGCGTTGTCAACTCAGTATATCCTAGAAGTCATTCCTTGTCCGTTTACAAAGGTTTGCCTTGTTCTTTTTTTATTTTGTAGAGTACTGCTGTGTCACCTGCATCTTGTGGGGTTTCCATAGTTAGATTCAGCCAATTCTTTGGGTAGATGTATTGTTTGAAGTATTTTGATATTCCTGTAATATTACAGCATATGTTGATTGTGGAAGTTATCTTCAGAGTGGGTTCCTTGAGATGGGATTGCTGGGTGAGAGTGTAAATGCATACTTAATTTTTTTTTTAAAGATTTCATTTATTTATTTGACAGAGAGAGATCACAAGTAGGCAGAGAGGCGGGCAAAAAGAGAGAGGAGGAAGCAGGCTCCCTGCTGAGCAGAGAGCCCGATGTGGGTATCTATCCCAGGACCCTGGGATCATGACCTGAGCTGAAGGCAGAGGCTTCAACACACTGAGCCACCCAGGTGCCCCACATACGTAATTTTTAAGATGCTTCTGATTTTTCCTCCATAGGATTTTTACTGTTTTGTATTCCTACCAGAAGTGTGTGAGGCGATGGTTTCCCCACAGTCTTGCCAACAAAGTGTGTTTTCAGCTTTTGGAGTTTTACCAGTCTCATGTTAGAAATGGGATGGGTGTAGTGGTAGTTAGCAATTCTGTCCAGATCTCTACTGAATTTTTTTTCTTTCTTTTTTTTAGTTTTAAGAATTATTTATATTATTAAATTTTCATATTTTGTATAGTATTTTTTGTTAATGTAATTTGTAAGTATTTTTTCTTAGTTTATTTTTTTTTTACTTAGCTTATGGTATCTTTTGCTCTGAAGTTTTTATTTTCATGAAGTAATAAATCTCATAAAAGTGGTTAGAATTTGGGGTCACTTACAGTCTCTTACAAGAGGGGAGTCTGGGCAGCGTAGTTTCTAGCATTCCAGTGTTTCTGTCCCAGAAGGGAGCTAGACCAGATGTTGAAGGAAACAGTCCATAGTACTTGGCTGTGAGGGGCATTTTTAGGAACATGGTGGTGTTGCCAGAAAGATTGACAGGGATAGGAAGGAACAGTGCTTCTCAACTTTGATGATTGGAGCCCTGCAGGTTGGAATTTTCTAGAAAAATGAAGAAACAGAAGATGCTACAACCAAGGCCAGTTAAAACAGTGTTTGTGGGGGTTCCAGGGAGGTAGTTCTTTCAGGGGTTTCTATGTGGGGGTTTTGTATGGCCAAGGTGGAAGGTCAACTGTGCTGGGGTTCTGGGTCAGTGTAGTAGTGTACGTGTGGGATTTGGTGGTGTGTGAGGGTGGTATACTTCTATGCGTAGGAATAGAAGTAAGGATGTCCTGTTTCTGGTGGTTAATTATGCTTTTTAAATATTTGTTATGTGGCTTTTCTCTTTCATTTTAGAGCATGTTTAACTCACTGTTAGAAGGTGAAGCTAGGAAGGGCCAAGCAAACATAATAATAGTGTTCCAGGAACTCTTAGACACAAGACAAGTACAGAAGCAGACAATGCTGCTGGAGGATTTATCGGTAGACTTTATGGAGAGATGAGGTCATTTGGATTTTGAGGGAATTGTTGGAGAAGCCTGTAAGATATGATCTAGGTCAATAGTATTTTAAAATTTGTTTTTAACAATGAAACCTTAGAAAAGATTTGTAAGTGGTTCCTTAGTACTAGGATGAGTTACAGCATCTCCCAGGGGGGAGTTTCGGGCACGCTCCAGAGCCTGCTTGTCCTCCTGCTGCTCACAGTTGAGGCCTCTAAGGAAATGCTTAGGATTCATTGAACACAGGTTGAAAACCACCTTCCTGGTCTTTTAAAAAAAAGCCATTTTAGGTCCGTGGAATCAAGTGGAATCTGTCCTTGATGTCCAAAATGAGGGAGTCTGGTGAGCATTTGATCCCCTCAAACTGTTTTCTAAGTAATTGGACAAACAGGAAAATTATAATCTAGGAAGGAAACTCCAAATAGCTTCTATTGAGGTAGGGGAGGATCAGTTTTGAGAAAGAAGAAAGCAACTCTGAAGCAGAGGATTTGTATATGAAGTGAGAACTGGGCACTTGCAAGTAGGGATTCCTTGGGAGCAGTGGGACTGAACTTCTGTCCTTGCCCTTGGAAGAGACCCATGGAAACTACAGGACAGCTGGAGCAGGAGGTGCAGCAGCTCAGGGGCATCCAACCTGTGCTGGAGACTGCAGGGATTCTTGTAAGGCACTTTATCCAAAATCTTTATAAATGACATTCAGATCCACAAAGATTACCTTTGGAATTCTACTCTGAACTCTACTCAGTTTTCTCCTTTATGTTATCCTACTACCCTTATGATTTTTTCACTTTGGTTACTCAACCACCACAGTACCTTAGATATCCCTGGGAGACACTTTTCTCTGAGTCTAAACAGTGTCTTTCATTTGAAGTCTGCCTTTCCATTTCAACTTTATTTACAGGTGAGGGGAAAGAGGGATGGAGAAGTTAACACCTCTTCACAACTAGTTTGTGACGGTAGTAAAGACTAAGGAATGTGGGTCATCTTTGTTGGTTCTTTGCCCTGAATATAAGGAAGTAGATTCTAATGGTCCAACTGTCACTTGAATGGAGCATTTTGAACTGTGAACCAGATAGGTTCACCCAGATAGGTCTAGGGAACCTTACAGGGGTCCTTAGGCTCTCAGGAGGCCAAAAGCAGGTAATTGAGGCCCCTTTGCTGATGGATGCCTGGTAGCCAGGATTTTGACTGTAATGCTGTCTTATTTGATGTTTTTGTTGTAGTCACATTTGATGTTTTTGTTTTAGTAGTGGTTATGGTTTAGTGTTACTAAGGAGTCTCATTTATATTAATAAAGATTAGGTTGCTTGCAAGTGGTTTGTGAGATTGGATTTTTCCCATTTCCGTGTGTCAGTGTGCCAGTTAACAGCTCCCTCACCACACAGTTTCCTAGCATTCTTATTACTGTTGCTAAGTAATAAATTTTCTGATGAAAATCTACTGTAAAACTGCCAGAAGTATTAGGAGTTTTCTGACTTCAGCTTAGGTTTGTTTTTTTGTTTTGTTCTGTTTTTTGGCATTCTGACTCAATTTTCTGCTAAATTTTTTCAATTGCCTTTACTTAAAGGTTTAAAAGACTTAATTATGTTTGTGTCCCATTCCAATTTTTTAAAATTTAAATTCAAGTTAGTTATCCTATGGTATATTATTAGTTTTAGGGTAGAGTTTAGTGACTCATTGGTTGCAAAAAACACCCATTGCTCATTACATCACGTGCCCTCCTTAATGCCTGTCACCCAGTTACCCTGCCCTCCCATGCACCTCCCCTCCAGCAACCTTCAGTTTGTTCCCTATAGTTAAGAGGCTCTTATGGTTTGCCTCTCTGTTTTATCTTATTTTATTTTTCCTTTGTTTCCCTTTATGTTCATCTGTTTTGTTTCTTAAATTCCACATGTGAATGAAATCATGTATTTGTCTTTCTCTGGCTGACTTACTTCACTTAGCATAATACCAGCTACAACGTTCCATGCACATTGTTGCAAATGGTAAGATTTCATTCTTTTTTATGGCTCAGTACTATTCCATTGTGTATATATACCACATCTTTATCCATTCATCTGTAAATGGACATCTGTGACCCATTCCAGTTCTGAGGAAAGGAGACAACTAGTGACAAACTGTTGGGTTCCTTCAGTCAGTCTGGAGTTTGATGAAAAGATAAGAACGACTGGGTCTTTAGGAGCCATGGTTGTAAAATTATGTTACTCCTTCAGGTGGTGATATCCCATTGTTCTGTTTTTCTCCAGCTGGTTTCCCCATGGGCTATGCAGCTGCAGCTCCTGCCTACTCCCCCAGCATGTACCCTGGAGCGAATCCTACCTTCCAAACAGGTATGCAGCCTATGTGTGCTGGCTGACATAAGTGCTTTGTCCCTGTGGCTTAGGAGAATGTAAAGTGGGTGGGTTTTGAGAAGTGTGGTTATAGAATTAGGATTTGGGTTGAATTGATTTCTTGGTTTGTAAGTTCAGTCTTGTTGATGAGTGTGATAAAAACTTTATTCTTACTGTATGTAAAACTTTTAGATACTGCATTTCTGATGTTCTTCCATAACATAGATCTTTATTCTAATCATATGTCTTTATAGGTAACTAGTGCCAGGACATATATTTATGAAACTGTTGATTACTAGAAACTAAAGATAATTTTGCCTAGTTAATAGGTGGAATTTCCATGCTGCTAATATTTTTAGAGATGACTGATTTCTCTCCAGTGTTTTAGCACTCTGGTTATAGTTTTACTGTTTTTTCTTTCAAGTGTAGTTAATAATGTTACATTAGTTTCAGGTGTACAACACAGTGATCCTACAAATGTTCTTTATGTTGTTCTTACCACAAGTGTAGCTACCATCTGTCACCAGACGACCCTATTACAATACCATTGACTATGTTCTCTACACTGTCCCTTTTATAGTTTTAAAACAAAGTCTTATTTCATATGCATGAGATTATTTTTAGATTTTAGAAATCAGTGATACAGTTCAAAGTTAACTTGGTTTGGGTCTGAACTTTGTAAAGGGAGTGATACTTTCCTCTGTGAACTTGTACTCTGGTGTGGCCTTGTTCCAGGGTTCACTCACCGACACTGGACTTTGTGATTCACCTGCAGCAGTGGTGGCCCACAGCGACCTGAAGTCTTGGCCTCATAGATCTGCTGGCGTGCTTCACTTTTTTCACCTTAGAACCCCTAGCCTCACACAGTTAACTTAGATGGAAAAGGAGATAAGAGTAGTGTCCCTTCCTTGAATTCTCCCTGTTTTGCTAATCATAAAATTCTTCTGTGACTCTTCTGTCCTTTCTCCTGTTTCTATTCCTACTCTGACTGCATTTGTTCAGCTTGTAGCTCACAACCAAAGACTTTGGCTTGCTCATCCTGCTCCCAGGCTTTTCTCCTTTGGTTCATGTTTCCTGCTTGCTTATACCAGAGTAATGTTTCAGAATAAGGTTTCCTCTGACTGTAAAGGCAAGACTCTCAACTTTAAATCTCTGGTTCTTTGCCACATTGGCCTGTTCTTTCCAAAATCGTTTTTGTTTTGTGTTTTTGCTAGCATTTACTAACGTTTTTTCTCTCCCACCTGGCCGAGAGTACCTGCTACTTTGTTGCCTATGTTTTGGGATCAATTAAGGAAATCCCTTCCCTGGTATCAGCAATATTATGTTACTACTCACTGGATTCTTTAACAGCTATATGGCACCGCCCATCTCCTTTTGTAAAACTTCTCAGGTTTAACTTCTTAAAAGTAGTTCTCTTGGGGCATAGATGACATAGAGTAAATTATACATATTTAAAGTGTATAGTTTGATAATTTTTGATATAATGTATATCACTCTCACAGTTGGGAGTGAATATAACTCTGACTAAAAGTTTTCTCCTCACCCTTTGTGATTTCTATCAGGATCCCGAAAATCACTGATTGGTTTTCTCTCCTATAGATTGCCTTATTTTCTAAAATTTTGTATAAATGAATCATACGGAATGTCCTTTTTTTCTTCTTCTTCTTTTTTGGACTGCTTTCATGCAACGTAATTAACATCCATGTTGTAGTGTTTATCAGTAATTGGTTCCTTTTTATTGTTGGATTCCATTGTTTGGGAATACCACAGTTTGCTTACCCATTTTCCAGTTAACGTATGGATTATTTGCAGTTTGGGGTTGTTAAAGATGAAACTGCTGTGAATATCTCTGTACAAGTCTGTGTGGATATATGCTTCGTTTCTCTTGAGTAAATACAAAGGAGGAGAATGGCTGGTTCTCAAGGCAAGTGAATATTTAACTTCGTGAAAAATTGCCAAACTGTCTTCCAAAATGGTTGTACTGTTTTCTGGTTCCATCCACAGTGTATGAGAGTTCCAGTTCCTTTACTTGCTTGTCAATACTTGGTATAGTTGTTCTGTTTAATTTTAGCCATTTGAACTTACCTGATGACTAACAATGTTGAGCATCTTTTCATGTGCTTCTTTGCCATCTGTAACGTCTTTGGTTAAGTGTGTACATCTTTATTGTATGTCAGTTTTTGTGTTTGTCTTCTTATTTTTCCGTTTGAGACTTGTTTTACAGGTATATGATTTGCAGCTATTTTCTCCTAGTTTGTGGCTCTTTTTCATTCTTTTAACAGTGTCTTTAAAAGAGCAGGAGTTTGTATTTTTTAATTTATTCTATATTTTTAAAAGATTATTTGTAAGTAAACTCTGCACCCAGCATAGGGCTTGAACTTACAACTCCAAGATCAGGAGTGATTTGCTCTACCACCTGAGCCAGCCAGGCAACCCATGAGCAAGAGTTTTTAAATTTAATGGTTTTCAGATTATTGTTTTGTTTATTCATGGGTCATGTGTTTGGTGTCATTTCTAACCCAAATCGCAAAGATGTTCTCCTGTTTTCTTCTAGAAGTTTTATAGTTTTAGATTTTACATTTAAGTCTGTTGCCCGTTTTGGTTTAGTTTTTATATATGATGGGAGGAATTCTATTGAAGTTCATTTTTTTGCTTGAGAATTGTTACTTATCATGTTATAGACCACCATAAAATGGCACATTCTAGAATTTTCCATAATAGTTCATTTGTATTCATTTTCTTCTTGGAGTACACAAGTTAACAGAATTGTACTGAAAAGCAGGGTACCTGGGTTGGCACAGTCAGCTAAGCATCCAACTTTTGGTTTTGGCTCAGGTTGTGATCTCAGGATTGTGGGATCAAGCCCTGCATCAGGCTCTGTGCTCAGCACAGGGTCTGCTTGTGAATCTCTCCTCTCCTCCTGTGCTGCCGTCCTCCCTTACACATGCTCACATGTTCTCTCTCTCTTTCTCTCTCTCTCAAGTAAATAAATCTTGAAGAAAAAAAAAAAAGGAAGTTATTTTTATTCTTTTACAAAAGAGCCTCAGACTTGTTGGAGGCTGGCAAAGTTGTTCTCCTTTCCCAGAGTGTACAGTGCTCTCCCAAGAGGAAGCTTGGAATTTTTAGGTCTTGTTAGCTTCCTACTTTGGGGCACCTCAGGCCAACCTGAAGAACTGATGTCATCCATCTCCTCTTTGGGAAATGGGTCCTTTCTTGCTAGTTTTCCAAGACTGCTCAGCAGTTGCTGTTGTAACCAAGAAGCTAGGGCAGGCAGGTGGGAGCAAAAGGATTTTGGGGGATTGTGGCTGCCAAGAGGGCCTGCCTTGTTCAAAGGGCATCTGCTGATAGATGGCAGAGAGAGTTGTCAACTGCGATACTGCTGGCCCAGGATTATCAAAACCCTCCGATTTTTAGGGAAAGCTGATAATAAAGATGTATGTGAAATTTGTAAATGACAAGCTGAGAATAAAAAATAATCTGGGAAGAGGCTGGTGATAAGATGTATATAAAATTTGCAAATGAGAAAATGAGAGCACTTTGAAGGTTCCACCAACATCCCCAGTTCTTTTAGCCACCTGATTTGAGCCACAGCTGTGCTCCCCATCTTTTTCTGTGATCTGTTCAATGTTTCATATTGTGAATTTTAAAATTTTCCTTTTTAATGGGCCTTTCATCTTATCTGATGAGCAAGTCAGAATTGTTACTATAAAAAAGTTAAAAAGTTTGTCTCCATTTCTGCTGCTTTCTCAATCTGCCTTCTGGTTCTCTCAGCACCAGATTTGTGGACAAAGCTGGTATGGTATGTTCATGGAGGTTAGCTTTTAAGGCACTTTGGCAATGTCCACGAACACACCACTCTTGTAAGTGTGACACAGAACCTTGTGATGAGATGTCATGTCTTTTGCTGAAAGATTCTATTACTCTGATGGAGGTATCATTCATTTCATCCTCATGAACAAGCGTAATAGGTTGAGTACCTGTTCAGCCAGAGTTGGCTGTCTCCTTTTGGAATCCGCAGTCTGTTGGAAAGAGTTTGGGGTGTGGAGTTTGCTAGATGTGGCTCAAATCGTGGCTATGTCACCCCTGGGTAAGTTATTTTATTTCATTTTTGGCATTTGTATAATGAATTAATATATATCCCCCTGGCTGTGTTATTGAGAATGCTGGCAGGCAGCATGCACACAGTCAGGCTCCCATGGTCCTGAGGCTGCACATTCAGGCTTCTCTTCTAGTCCTATTTACAGTCTCTATAGTAATATTTGCAATAATCATCTGAAGTCCTCAAGAAAACATTCAGTTCTTTGTAGTAAATTATTTAAGAAGTGACTTAAACACTACATTAACATACGTTTTGAGGGTGGGTATTTATTACAGTTATAAATTACAGTTAACATACAGTGTAATACCAGTTTCAGATGTAGAATTTAGTGATTCATCACCTACATACAACACCCAGTGCTTCAACGCAAGTGCCTTCCTTCAAACTCATGAACTATTTAACCTATCCCCCTTACCCACAGCATACATTTTAAAGGGAGAAAAATGTTGCCAAGAGTGATAAAATAGCTTCCTTGGTTTTTGCCATGCAGGGCTGAATGGAGAATAAATTGGGGAAGATTTGAATTATGTCCATGAATTATGTCCATGAAGTAACACCCCAGGTTTGTTTAAAAAATAAACTACACTTATGGCAGCCACATAGGAGAGAAAAGCCTTAGAATGTTACCGATTTGTGGGGCCATGGATCTGCTTTCTCTTGTTTAAATTAAGGGTTTACGTGAGGCGCCTAGGTGGCTCGGTGGGTTAAGCCTCTGCCTTTGGCTCAGGTCATAATCTCAGGGTCCTGGGATCAAGCCCCACATTGGGCTCTCTGCTCAGCAGGGAGCCTGCTTCTCCTTCTCTCTCTGCCTGCATCTCTGCCTACTTGTGATCTCTCTCTCTCTGTCAAATAAATAAATAAAATCTTTAAAAATAAATAAATAAAGGGTTCACATCCATAT